TCACGTTTCCATTTGATGGTAATATTCATCTCTCTTATAGGCTGTGTAAGGCAAGTATGACTTTAGATTTTCCCCTTTCTCCTCACACGTCAATCAATTTACAGAGACTTGAAGTGTGCGTGGCCAATACTTAAATCCATGAACAAAGTCCATTCTTTTCAAAAAAAGAACCAAACTCCTTGTTTTTTTTTTAAAAAAAAAATAATAATCCAAGCACCAGTTATTGCCAAAGAAATCTTCAACAATTATTGCTTTGCCTGTCCCTCCACCATTAACAGTAAGTTTTTTTTTTTTTTTTTTGCCTCTGCTCCTTTATAGATGGTATCATTCAGCATCTAGTTTAGAAAAGTGTCTGTTCTATGTATTGATTTTCTTCCGTGCAAACTGTTAGAATCAAGTCTCACATTGGTAATAAATGGAAACTATGATAGATTTATAAGGAGTTGGCTACTCCACTCCATTTGGGTTAACTTTTTGAGTTAGAACTCCAAGATTTTATAGTAGAGTTTATGGTCCTAACAATTAGTATAAACCTAAATGTTACTAAGTGTACGCACGAGATGAATCCTTAATATGTTGAATAAGGTGCAGATCCTTGGTTATTATCTGCTACTGAAAAATTTCATGAAAGCTCGAGGTAGATCTTCCTTCCACACTAAAGTGAGGCCATAGACGTGGTGGTGACCTTGAGGTTGTTGTGCACAACATGAAATGCGGAGATATGCGATAGAAAGCAAGAAGTGGTGGGATCTCCACGTAACATAATGGAGGTGTTATGGAGGATCTGACGGCTGGAATGGGTTATTAGAACTGCAGTTCCTATGGTGGAGCCCATGGTCCTAACGCAAACTACAAAAGAATGATTACCTAGAGAAACTTTTTAGCCCCCGTTTGTTTTATTGGTTTAGTTCAATTCAACTTAATTTGAACAACAAGCACAGATTGAATTCATATTTGGTAAGCATGCAATCTGAATTATGTTTTCGTTTGAATTGAATTAAACTGTCTAACTTAGAGTTTAACTCCCCTATAAAGTTTAATCATTTTTTGAACAGTAAAAAGGTGCCCACTCTCTCTGCTTTTTATACATACCAAATACAAATTCAAATTTTATTCCCTATTCATATTAAAATTTTAACTGCACATCCAAATACTAATTCAAACTACAATTTAAACCGCATTAATTTAAATTTTTCTGTTTAAATAAAAAAAATTTAAATCAATAAAATTCAAACTAGTGAACAAAACGAGGGCTTAATTTATATACTCACACTTAGGACATGGTAAAATAGAAATGATAAATCAGAAATTACAAGTAGTCAATTATTTTATCAAGTTTAATCATTCTCCCAGCAGGGAGAGAAAAGAGGATCGTTGTCCTTCAATTGTGAAATATTTGCAGTACTCACCCTTTAAATGAGAAAATAAAAAAAGGAGAATACAAACGTTTAACATGTTTTGACAGTATGTTCATATTCATGGACTATGAGATTGAAGAAAAGTTACTAGTAAAGACCAAATTACATAAAGCTATGAAATCTTCTGAAAGTAATATATAAATATATATATATATTAAAAATAGAGACCGAATTATTTTTAATTAAAAACAAAGTCTACAGCTAGGGTTCTTAGTTTTATGTACTTTTTTGGATATTTTTTCGTTCCTTTACATTATAGATTCAGTTTGTTTATCGATTTAGAGTTATTTAAGAACAATTTCTACATTAACAATGATCCAATAAACTTGATGCCTTATTGTTTTACAAATTTCTTGCACTTAGAACTTTTCGATTTCCACTTTTTTTTCAGATGTTTTTCTTTTATGCTTTAACTTTTTTTTTTACTACAAATATATATAAAGAAATAAATTAAATTATAATGACACTTGATGTATTCTTATATGGTATTCTGAATCCAGTTATGAGAATTAGTCTAAAAAATGAATGAAAAAGTTAAAAAAAGATCCTCTTTTTTTCACATGAAACGACTTGCCGTTTAAGAGCAACAACAAAATATATAATGTTGGGATATGTAAGTATGTTCGATTCGATGTTCCTCCTTTCTCCTGAAAAACAAAAACTCAATGTCGTTTACTTGAAGCAATAAACACTTGTCGTTTTTGTCAGATACGGTCCATCCCCGACAGGAAGAATGACATTAGAAAACTGATCTAAAAATGTGCAAATGTTGTATAGTGACCTCTAGAATTACTACACAATTACACGGCGGTGCAAATATTTCTTTTTCGGATAGAGTTGCACACAGCAATTCGATCTGAAAAATTTTGGTCGAATTCATCTCTCTTGCACCAAATATACAAGATAAGCATCACTTAAACTTTCCTTTTTCCTCTCCTGCCCGAATTTCATAAATTTTTTTTTATCACATTGAGTTTTTATTAAAATACTATATAAATATAAATTCAAGTTTTGACCAATCCAAACACAAACTCAAATAGATTCTCAATTCACATCCAAACACAAACTCAAGTTATAACTTCAACTCAAGTTATAACTCAAATTCAACTCAAAATCTACACTCAAGTCACTATAACTCAAAAATGCAATCAAACAAGCCGTAAGAAAAATTAAAATTTTTTTTTGAGAAAAAACAGTATAGTAAAAAGAATAGCCTTTTGTGTGTTTGTCTTTGCGGTGTTATAGTAGGCCTTGACGTTTTTAGTCTCTTGATCTCTATCATCGGAGTCATCCATTAATTATAGTGACGTATTTAAAAGAGTTAATTGTGTGCTCAATTAATTGTGCACCTCTTCCCTTTTCTCTTGTTGGGATTCGGTACACATGCTACCCTTTAGAACTTTTTAGTTAAACTTACTAGTGGTCTTAATTTGTAATCGGAGTTGAGTCGTTAAATGTGTTGTGATGTTTTATGTTTGAATTGGTATTTATACTTCTCTGATTTAGAATGTAATCTCCATTTAAAAAAAATAAAATAAAGAATGGCCTTTTTTGTTCAGTTGTTTCGATGAAGATGTGGTTCGCGGAGGAATTACAATGCAATAATAAAAGAACGAGTTCCAGAGCCAAAAAATAACCTAGTTGTACTTAAGTGGCCCCTTTCCAACGTGCTGTCTGAAAATAAGATGTAGACTTATTTTTCTCTCATATTAGCTTTTGGAAACATAAAGTTGGAATGTAAAAATTCATTGGATTCGCTTTTACAATTTATTCAGTTTCTACGCAATCGCAAGCTGATTTTTCTTTGCTTTCTGAAAGTAGTGGCGTTATAATCTTGTAGAAAAGAAATTAAGTAGCATTATTCTATAAATTGTTGAGGGTATCTAAAAAAAAATTAAAAACATAAAAATATCTCGTTTTTTTGTCTGAATTAGGCCGATAAAATTTCGTTCTTATTTATTCTGCTCCATCACATACACACACATTTTGATCACTTTGATTTGGAAATTTTTAATGAAGCTAAATGACAATGGTCCACCAAGAACAAACTCAAAAAGGTGACAGATAAAGTTTTTTTTTTTTTTCTTTTCGACTGGGAGAAAGTGATTTCTCAAATATATAAAATAAACTATTCAAAATATTTACGAAGTAGTCAAATTAAAGGAGCGCCCTCTTTTTTGCCCTTTTAGATTGAGGGCTTTATTACTTTAGGTATATTTTATTTATATTTTAAAAAATAAATAATTAGGACTAATTACGTAATTACACCTCTTAGTTTTAATATTTCTCAATTTGTCCTTCTATTTTTAGAAACTACAAAAGAATGCTTTAAATTTCAAAAAGTTTTTCAATTCCATCTCTCGCATACTTTGTGGTAGAAAAAAATAACATAACTACCCTTAAATAATTCATAAAAAACATTTTAGATTCAAAAACGTAAAAATCCATAAAACAAAACCTCAAATTTCAAAAAAAAAAAGATCTTGAATTTTATGTTTTTCAAATGTTAAAAAATTTTTAAAAGATTTTTCTAAAGAAAAAAATTATTTAGAAATAATTTTGGTCTAATTAAAAGTATTTTTGTTTTTTCCCTTGTTTTTTGACTCTTTTTTATCTTGAATTTTATGTTTTGCAAATGTTGAAATATCTTTAAAAAAAATTTCTCAAGAAAAAAATTATTTAGAACTAAATTTGGTCTAATTAAAAGTATTTTTGTTTTTTCCCTTGTTTTTTGTCCATAAAATGTGTGATACATACAATTGAAACAAAAGTTTGAAATTTTAAAAATATCTTTGTAGTTTCTAAAAACAGATGAGTAAATCTAAAAATAATTAAAATTAGGAGGTACATATAATTATGTAATTAACCCATAATAATTATTGTTTTCTTTTTTTTTTTCAATAGAATTTGGTTAGAAGACAAGCTCTCCAGCTTAGCCGTGTTTACCATAGTCGCCCACTATTCAGCGGCTTGCAAACAATTCATATTCCCATTCTACCCTCTCTAATACATCCTGTAGGACCACCCATGTTAAGGGCCTTTTAGTAACAACACAATAACCGCTTTTATGTTCAATTTACCTAACCCACCTAACTCTCTACATCTCTGACCATAAGCATTATTTTCCCATAATGACATATTTAATTACTTTTTGTGATTTTGACCAATAAAAAAATAATGCTGCAAACTGATAGATAGCGCAGCTCTTTTGAGAAGGAAGAAAATGATATCAAATAAAGTTGATTAGTCGTCGTTGAGTTTGTTAATTTAAATTGTCAATTCGAATTAAACACGTGATTTTACGTAAAAACTGTAGCAGAAAAATACGTGAGAACTACAGCAGAAAAATTAAAAATGAGTTTTTATAAGAACTTTTAAAATTAAAATTTAAAACTTACATTTGAATTGTTTTGATCTGTATATTCATTACATTAATTTATCTTAAATCATGTTAAAGAAAACACAACTTGGTTTAAAAAACTGCTTGTTATATTTGAATCATGTCAAACTTTCAATTTTCTCAGCTTCACTTTCCCGAGAAAGTTCTTTTCTGGGACTTTGCTAAACTTGTTTTTCTTACAAACCAGCATAGATCAGTTTGTTTTTGAAAAATTCTTGCCTTTCCTTTTTCATGCTCTGTTTCTCTCAACCAAGCAGAGTAAACACCAAACATATGAACAAAACCATCAATGTTCTATTGATTGTTTGTTTCTCCAGAAGGTTTCTTCTCTTTCCCGAGAAAGTTTCGTCCTTCCCCAGAAGTTCAAACCCGGTATGGATGCGAGAAAAGGCGGGGCGGAGAAGAAACGAACAAACGACGTCGTTTTGCAGATTTCGAGCACGGAAAAAGGAACAGCTTCTGGGTCTTCTCCGAAAGTGTCGAAAGACTCCAACTTTGAGCTAACAGAGCTAAAGCCTCCGAAAGTCCCAAGTCCGACCAACCCAGTTTCAGTTTCTCGGCGGGCGTCGATTTCGAGGTCGACTTTCTCGAAGCCCAAGTCCAGACTAGTTGAGCCACCACGTCCCGGTGATCCCAAATCGGCTGAAGAGAAATCTCGGTTGAAATCAGACACAAGTTCTTCTCTTTCAAGCTCGCCTAATGTAACTTCTTCCCCAAGCAACAAAGTCAAAGTCTCCACTCCTAAAGAACACCAGAAATCAGCTCCGGTAACTCCCAAAACGCCTCTGATTTCAACACCACCGGGAGAGGAAGAAGAAGAAGAAGACGATGATGATGAAGATGTGTACAAAACAGCCGATCTCAAGGGGAGACAAGAGGCAAGTAAGAAGAGGAGAAAAGTGAAAGTTACTCTCTTGATTGAGTGGGTTTCGTTTGTTTGCATAGTGGGGTTTTTGATTCTTAGCTTGACTTTGCATGAATTGGAAAAGAAATTGGTTTGGGGATTGGAATTGTGGAAATGGGGTGTCTTGGTTTTGGTGATTTTTTGTGGTAGATTGGTCACTGAGTGGTTTATCAATGTTTTGGTTTTCTTGATTGAGAAGAACTTTTTGCTTAAAAAGAAGGTTTTGTATTTTGTTTATGGGTTGAAGAACAGTGTGCAGGTTTTTATATGGATAGGTTTGATACTTTTGGCTTGGGGTTTGTTCAATCGTGGGGTGAGGAGGTCTAGAGGAACTACCAAGGTTCTTAATTATGTTACTAGGGGTTTAGCTTGTTGTCTTATTGGAGCAGCTATATGGTTGTTGAAGAATTTGTTCATTAAATTGTTGGCGTCTTCTTTTCAGTGCAATAGATTCTTTGATAGGATTCAGGAATCACTCATTCATCAGTATGTTCTGAGGGTACTTTCCGGGCCGCCATTGATGGAGATGGCGGAAAGAGTTGGGAAGACGCCGAGTACGGGACAGCTGAGTTTCCGAAATGTGAAGAAGGAAAAGGGTGAGGAGAAGCAAAAAGGGAAAGAAGAGGTGATTGATGTGGATAAGCTCAAGAAGATGAAACCAGAGAAGGTTTCTTATTGGACAATGAAAGGGTTGGTTGATGTGATCAGGGGTACTGGATTGACTACCATTTCGAACATATTGGAAGACGAGGAGGACGGGGATGCCCAGAAGGATGAGGAGATTACTTCTGAGTGGGAAGCAAAGGTTGCTGCTTATCGGATTTTTCATAATGTTGCCAGGCCTGGTAGCAAGTGAGCAAAATCTATGCTTCCAATGTGTTTGGAATTTTCCAACAACTTCACATTGATCAGAAAATTTCTGACTAATATTCATTGTTTGACTAGGTACGTTGATGAAGAAGATCTCTTGCGCTTCCTGAGTAGAGAGGAAGTGGATCTTTTGCTTCCGAACTTTGACGGAGCAGTAGAAACCCGTAAAATCAAGAGAAAAACTTTGAAGAACTGGCTGGTAAATTTTTTTAAGAGAAAATTTCCTCTTTGCTATTAATATGCCAAAAAATTTCTTCTGAAGATTTTTTTTTCCTTGATTTCAAGTGAGTCAGACAATCTGCAGAATGAAGTTCTGCTATTTTTTTGAAACTTTTTAACCTGGAAATTGATCTGTGAGTGCAAAATACATGCAATACGTAGTTGATTCGACACCAAAATGTAACATTCTATTGCAAGGCTTAGGATATATATGTATGCATAACACAAAATTCTGACTGAAAAGAGTACCGATATCTTAACTGTTAAAGCTGTTCTTGTTTGCAGGTGAAGGTTTACCTTGAACGCAAATTGCTGGCTCATTCATTAAACGATACCAAGACAGCCGTAGAGGAGCTGAATAAGCTTGTCTCTGTGATTGTAATTGTGGTAGTCATAATTCTCTGGTTGCTCTTGATGGGATTCTTGACCACCCAAGTACTTGTATTCATTTCATCCCAAACTCTGCTGGTTGTATTCATGTTCGGTAACACTGCTAAGACCGTGTTTGAAGCCATCATATTTGTATTTGTGATGCACCCATTTGATGTGGGAGACCGCTGCGTCGTTGATGGAGTACAGGTAACTTCTCTAACCATGGATTTCATTTCCTTGATGTGTTGTTGGACACCCAACTTGGCTTGACATGGTAATTGCTGATACCTCACAGCTGGTTGTTGAAGAGATGAACATTTTGACAACGATCTTCTTGCGATTTGACAATGAGAAAATCTTTTATCCGAATAGTGTTTTGGCAACCAAACCCATCAGCAATTTCTACAGGAGTCCAGAAATGGGTGATTCTGTTGAATTTGCTGTTGATTTCTCTACGTCGATCGAGACTATTGCAGCTTTGAAAGCCAAAGTAAAAGCGTACGTGGACTTTATCTTATCTTGCCTCCTAAGTATTAGGAATTGTTTCCATTGATTCTTGTTTTAAATTTATCATGAGTTTCATGAAGATTCTGGATTTACTATATGTGGAAACAGACATAGTAGTTAACCGTGCACTTAATAGTTTGAAAAAGGATTTTTCTGATTCATTCATGGAGAAAAAGTAAAACAAAGCAGAGTTTTGGACAGAGATAAATGAAATTCTTAATCTTTACCTTCTAGTGCTTATCATCTTCTTCTTTCTCTATATTTTTATTGGTAAGGGCAATAGATGAATTTGTATTTTCACTGCTGTTAGTAATACTTAATTCCTATCTTTTTGCTCTCCATACGTTTATAGAGATGTTGAATATTGTGTAAAAACAATGAAACTTCAGGTACCTGGAAAGCAAACCTCAATACTGGCGTCCTGCTCACAGCGTGGTGATTAAGGATATTGAGGATGTCAACAAGATGAAAATAGGTCTTTACGTCACGCACACCATCAATTTCCAGAACTACGGCGACAAGAGCAGCCGAAGGTCTGAACTGGTGCTAGAGTTGAAGAAAATTTTCGAAGAGCTCGGAATTAAATATCGGCTGCTGCCTCAAGAAGTTCATGTCAGCTATTTCAGTTCAGCTTCTTCAGCAGTCTTATTGCCACGGCAGTGATCTTTTTCGATTCTCCTTTAACCTTGCAAGTATGTTATGTGTTTTTCTCCGAAATCAATGAGTCATCTTCTTTTTTTATTGCTCGATTCTCGAATTGGTGGATTAAGAAAAATGAGTCTCAAACCAGTGGCCACAACATGTTAACCTTTACGTTGGTTTACTCTATTTCTTGTTTTTGTTGTCGAGAACAAAACATATCTTCTTTTGTGGTCCTGAAACTTGACAAGAGAAAGTATTCCTTATTCGACAAATTTCGTGAGAAAATATAAAGAGAGAAGATCATGGGAGATGATGGGTTTTTTTTTTCCCCCTTCTTTTTTTTTTCCCATTAACTGTACTTATTCTCAGTTTCTGAATTTTGTTACATTTTCTTCAATGGCAGATTAAGGAGGTGGGCTAGAGCGTGGCAAAAAGAAAGTGCGTTGTAGATCAAGCAAAGAGCTCTTTATTTAGTTGGTAATACAATTCTTTTTAAGTTTTAGATTTGTAAACAGAATGCCATGTTTGCAATTCATATTTGAAAGGAATAAGAGCCGCAAAATTATGATGCTGTGGGTGTCTGAGTCTGAGAGATGGGAAACGAGATTTTGGTACCTAAGATTATTTGTTGAGATTTTTGTCAGTTCATGCTAGCCTTGATAGTCCAATTTTGTAAAAATCATGTTCAGTGTCGGTTTTTTTTTTTTTTTTTTTTCATCCTGGATTTTGGTATTCATTTTGATAAAAATTCAATTCGAAGTTCTTTTGGTTGTCAATTATAAATACCATATCTATACGGTAATGAGATGAAAATAATCGATTCTTGCTTAATGTCTGCTAAATGCCTTAACCGGTTGTAACTTATTAAAAAACAATCTCTAAAAGCAATGCGAATACCAAACGGACACGAGACAGCAGAGGATAACTTGATGTTGAACTATGACAAATGCTCTGACTTTGATCTATTCTGGCCTCTTCACTTTTAGTGGGTTTTGTTAGATTTTTTAAAATTTTCATTGGGGTTTATTTTTCTTGATTCTTTTATAATAGCTTCTGAAGAGGAACATGCATAGTTTAAAAAGATAAAGAAAAAAAAAATTTGCTGAAAATTCATTCCATAAACGAAAATAATGTGCAAGCGTTCACGATCATGCCTGCGGCAGCGTGGTGTTAATCAAGCTTTATACCATTTTTTAAGTCTAGACGTCCACAGGGAGAATTTGGCTAAAATAACCAAGTAAAAAAATAAAATTAGAAAAATGATTTTTTAATTTTAATTTTATTTGAATAAATTCTTAATTATATAATTAATAAGTATTGTTAACAGAGGTGGTCTCCTTCCTGAGGCCAAATACTAAATTCGAGCTCTCTTCCTTCTCCTCCCTTCTTCGAGCCCTCATGAACGACCAAGAAGGCAAGAGAACGACCCAAAATCCTCATCCCCCTCTCTCTCCCCCTTCAGAACCTCTAAGATCTCCTCTTCCCTTATTATGGAGTTTCCAAATTTTGTTCTCCAAAAAGTTCTTCCAATAATTTCTTCTTCTTCAAAGCACTTAATCAAACAAAATATGACAAAAATTTCTTCAACCTTGCGGATCTAGAGCTTTGATAGCTAGGGAGAATGAATGTGAAGAAATCAAAAAAAGTTGCCATGACTGAGCACTTCGTGAGGGAGGAGAAACGGAGCTAGCTTCAGGGAGGGTTTTGGGTTCCTTTTTTTTCGTTTTTCTTTCTTCTCAGAAAGTCATTTTGCAAATAAAAATTTTTGAATTGTCATTTTATAAATAAAGCTTTTCTATTATATTATTTTTACAAAGGCCTCCGTCCACAGGTCATGTGAAGTTGATATGAAAATGGGAAAAAATTGAAAATATCACTCAAAAAAGTAACGTCGCTCCACTCAAAAATAAATCATTACCATACAATCACAATCAATAAATAGAAAATAAAATGTCATGTCATTTAATTATTTAAAATGACATAAATAATAAGTCTAAACAAAATTATGTCAAATTATGTACTTTTCTCTACACAAAATTATATTGTACCGAAATTCTAGTAAATAATATATTTATGAAACTAAATTAAGTGTAAATTTTTAATTTACAACTGAAAAAAAATAATTTATGTGATAAAAAATATTTATTTAAGTGAAAAAAATCTTTTTACCTTTGAATAGCAAATTATTTAAAATTTGCTGTCTACTTCAATTATGTACCGTTATTTACTTCATTCTCCCAAAATTGCGGTGATAAGTGGTATGTCTGGCATTAGGGCTGCTTTAGTTACATCTTCGGGTCCAACCGTAAGTCCATTGCTTGAGCCCAAAACAATAATGGGCCTGTTTGCATAACTTTGAGCCCACCACGAATTATTCAAGAAGCCGCACACCACCACCACTCGGAAAGAAAGTAGGAACAGCCAGCAGGAAACCTGTATCTTGATGGTGATTCATGATTGGACCAATAAGATAACCTTATCCAACAATCACGAAACGAGATGACGCCACGTAGGACAGAGATACAAACACACGGTTTTGTGAAATCCGAAATTTCCCACCTCTCGTTGCTCCGATCCCCACCTCTATCTAAATTCTAAACACCACTCTCTCTGTCTCTCAAAACACCAATACCACACTCTCAATTTCACTTCCAATCGCCAACGAAAGAAACAAAGAAAGGGGAAGAGAAAAAATGGCTGCAACTTCCGCAGTTTCTATGGCGATGCCATTGACCAGCGCCAGCCAGAAGAAGGCCCCAAACTCCGAGGCCTTCCTCAGGCCATTGCCCGTTAGGACATCCAAGGCCGTCACGGTGGCACCGAGATCGACCGGGAAGCTCGAGGTCAGAGCTTCGATGAAGGAGAAGGTTGTGACCGGGCTCACCGCCGGGGCGATGACTGCATCGATGGTGATCCCTCAGGTGGCCGAGGCAGCCGGTCCAGGAGTCTCTCCATCGCTAAAGAACTTCTTGCTCAGCATTGTCGCTGGAGGAGTTGTTTTCGCGGCCATTGTCGGCGTCGTCATCGGAGTCTCCAACTTCGATCCCGTTAAGCGGAGCTGAGGGAGAGACTGAAGTTTGTTTTTTTTTTAGTTTCTCGAGAATTTTATGGCAAGATTCTTGATTTCAAAGTTTTCATTAATGTAATCTGTTGTGTAATGGTGTTTATGTGTTCTGTGGTGTAATATGCGACTCCTCTCTTTTCATCAGCCTTTCTTTATTTTCTGCGGAACACTGTTAATTCTGAGAAGCTCCTGATTTCCGTATACTTACAAATAGCAAAGAGATAGAAAGGACTTGCATACACATCCAAATTAGTTATTATATAAAAATGAGCTAAATTGAATCTCTACATTGATTATGGAAACTTGAATAACTCTGCAACAGGTGAAAAGCAATTCTAATGTTTTAATAAAACTTATTCTGGAATGTCAATACAATACAATAGTCGAATTCAATAATAACAGAAGAAAATAGAAGCCTTGGAAAATTCCCTAATTTCGAGCAAATGTTTTTTGTAGAACCAATAATAGCTACAACTATTTGAAGTCGTGTTTACTAAACTTGCTAATTATCTATCCAAAATGTAATTTCGCTAAAGGCATCTTAAAGACTTGAACCATTCTCTGAGTTAGAAATATTGATTACATCCTAGTGGACTTCAATACTGAATCGAGCATATATTTGCTCTCTGAAGAATAGTTCACCTTATCAGCCTTAACCACAGTGATTTTCACCCTCTGCTCATCACCGTATAGCTCTTCTTTAATCTTGAGCCTGAAAAGATATTGGTTGAAAAGACTACTTCGAACTAAGTCCGCAAATCGGCCCTCGTCCTGCTCTTCATACTTCAACAAATACAACTCTTTTGCCGAGCACCCCAATATCTCCTCCCCAGATTCCTGAAAAGCCGTCACCCAAGTCAATCCTGTGTGGTCTTGAATTTGGGCTTGAAGAAGGTATCTGTAATCGCACTCTGTGAATTCTTGATTACATCTGTCACACTGCCAAACATTTCCAGACATCGTCGCCTTTTTATTACACTGTCTATCTCCAATCATCAAGGGGCAAGCCGTGTAACAAAAGTTGTCCGTTTTGATGAATGTTATGGCTGCCTTTACAGTGACCCAGTCTGGCTTATCAGATCTTCCAAGACCTTCATCTTTGATTTGAGAAATAGTTTTCCGTATCTCATTCTTAGGCGCTCCAGCCATTATATCTTTAGAGATGGACTGAGAAGCAGCATCCTTTCCAACTCGATCAAACCAGTCTCTTAAGCTATGAGCCTCAGGGAAATCTGGGTTTATGAAGAGCTGAGTAGCCGAAATTGTACCTACAGATTTCCCGCTGAAGTCGCTTACCTTCCCTGATTTTACAGCTAAAACAGGACAAAATCCAGAATCAGACATCTCTTGCAGCTTCTGACCTTCCCTATTGCAAAATTCACCCCAAAGGGTTAGCTCAACACTCCTTCCAGACGAATCCTTTAGATTCAGAATTCTTCTCTGAGTTTCCATTCCATTCTTTCTCAGAATAGATACTGAAGGGTTCACAGATATCACAATACCAATAATATCAAGAATGGAATTATTATCAGCGGTTTCAACCTCATTGATAGGTCTAAATGAAAACTGCTGTCTTGGTATAGAACCGTCTTCATCAGGGCAAAGCTCTACAGTGGAAGTTGCCTCAAGGAATATTTCCCATTCATTTTTCAGATGGTTGAAATTCTTCCGAGCAGGTTTTAAGCTACCCTTAGAAATCAAGTACACTTTACCAACCTCTATAGTATCATAGAAGCAGTCAACAACAGCATTGAAGCAGGCCACCCGTATTTCCCCTCCATCAGAGTCAAGAAGGTCAAATGAGAATACTTTTCCGTCTCCACGGGCATTATTATACCGACGGAGATCTCCTTTGGCAGTAACTCTTGCCTTAATAGCCCACCGACCTTGATAAGGATTCAATGCATCAATAGGAATGATCCGTGCAGGTGCCTCATTCTTCACAATAGCGCCATGATTTTTGTAATTAGGAGGTGGTTGGTAAGGAGGTTGAACAGTGGGCCTGAAATTTGGCAGATTGGAAAAATTCTGGGTTCTCAACTGAGTATTGGTAACCCTGGTTGGCTGAATATTACCATTGGTCTGCATCTTCCGAGCTGTTGAATCAGGCTCAACAACTGATTTTGGATTCCCAATTATGTTGCAGTCCGGTAAAATAGTTTCAAAGTTCAGCACAAGAAGCATCCTGTACACATCAAAATTCATTACATAACTTTAAATTAAAAGAATCCAATTGATAAAAAACTTGAATTAATAAGGTAAACAAAAAGCCTCCAGTTAAAAACTCTGTTTTACACCTCATTCAAAAGGTTTACAAATTTTCTGTTAATCTCTTCAACACAAGATGACATTGTCAATAAGAGCTAATAATGCAGACAAATTATTTTACCTCGCATAATAGCCTAGTAAATCAAAGTGCAGAGTCACGTGTCATAAAATTTTAGAGGTTGTTTCACTGGTAGCAACAACTTTAATGCGCTTAGATAATCTTATTAATTTTCAAAATTTCGCTCTTCAAATGCAAATTACCTCCAATTAACATTGAATTTCAATCTTTAAATCCCAAAAAACCACAATTCGAAGAACAAGGTTCTGTCTATATTTCAATCAACCAAAACAGACTCCAAAAAATCATAATTAATTACTTCCAGCTTCACCGCATTACGTTGCAACCAACTGAGCCAAAATTGAAGGGGGGAAAAAAAGATACAGAATATGTTTCCAAAATTTTTTCGAATGCCGATATTCAAAGCTATTATGGCCTAATAAACTTCACATTTCCACAGGACAGAAAGAACAGAAAACCTAATCGCAAGTAATTTACCAAAAAAACGCATAGACGCACTAAATCAAAATCGATAAGCGATTAACAATTAGAAGAATCTCAATTCTCAGATTACGCTCATCATTTGGCTAGTAACTAAATCAAATTTAAGGAATTAGAAACTAGAGAGAGACTGACTTGCGATTCTGCACCAAATTACAGAAGTACTCGAGGAGCTGGACGACGGAGCCTTGCTTGACGAGGCCGTTCTTGACCGTGTCGTTGAGCTGCGTGGCGAGAACCGCGTGCTGAGTCGAAACGCCATCGGAGATCACCAACCGGTACCGATCCTGCTTCAGGATGTTATTGATTTCGAGGACCTGCACGATAGGCTTCGAGTTCGTGTCGCCAGCGAGGATGGTCGATATCGCGTTCGGCGTGAGGTGCACCGCCATTGTCAAGCTCTTCGTTTCTTCTCCAAGAGGAAACCCTAGGTGTGCGATGAGATCGGCTTGTGGTTTCTTTGGTGAATGTTTTGGATCCGATTGAGGCCGAACTCGGGATTGTTCGGAGTTATATCGGAGAGAAATGGAGACAACAACCGTCGATTTAGAGATTGGAAATGGCGGGATCTCTGGAGGGAAGAAGATAAATACAGTTAGTTTACGGCTGAAAGAAAAAATAAGGCCCGAATGGATCATCGGTTTAAACCCGATACTCTTAATTTTAATATTTAAAGTTTAAATTTTTTATGAGAAAATATTAAGAGGATGTTTGTTTTTGGTATTCGTCACTAATTATGAATCATAATTCATGATTCTTTACAGTAATTTTTATTTCACAAAATATACACATAAAACGAGAATAATTCTGAATTATGATTCTAAAAACATGAACCAAACGTTCACTAAAATCATAAATTTAAACACAGTAAAAAAACGAACACAAAAAAAAAAAAAGAGGAACAGGAATTTCAAATTAAAACAGGGGATAAAAATCATCCTCCTCTATACCAGCAAAAAATGTAGCTCGTAATTTATATTTTTAATAATATTAAAACAATATCTTTAAGTTCTTTTAGTATTTTAAAACAAACTTTTAAATGTAAAATATTCATTATATCTTTTTCATTAATTAACAATAAATTAGTGATTTTTAAAAAAAATCTGAAAATACTCTAAAAAACATTTAATAATTAAATAATTAAAATATTTTAAAGTTATTAGTTTCTATTTAATTAATAAAAATTATAGTTTAGACATTATATGTGCAAAATCGATCTTAAAGAATATATATAAAAAAATGTTTCTTTAAAAGTAAAGGTTTTGTCTTAATATTATAAACACATGATATTAACGAGATGTTATGCTATAACAAAAAGTACTAAAATAATTTTATTCTCAAAGAATTAAAAATTTTGAAAAATTATTTTTCGTAAAATGACATTTTTTTGGCACCGTGAACGTGTTTTTTTTTTTTTTTTTTTTTTTTTTTAAAATTTTTTTTTTATTATTTAATGAA